AAAAAAACTCACTTTGATAACAATCTTCTTCTCCGATCCAGCATTCACAGGTGTAAACGGAGCAGTTGGCTGCCCACTAAAAACTGCCCCGTCATCCTCATCGAATGCATTTTTCCGTTTGAGTACGGAAGGAAACATTGGCTCAATGCCAGTTTTTCTCGGGAATTCGGACTCCCTTTTTACTTCCTTTTTCTCCGGTGATTCTTTCTTGCACTCAGTTTCATCTTCATCGCCTTCGAACCACTGTTCCTCCTGTACTTACATTTATTTGAAAAATCAAGTACTAAATGAGGACAAGGGACTAGCATTTCATTTTTACCTGTCTCTCCTTAGCAAATGCAGCCGGACTCGGCACTCTTTCGTCTTTCACTGCATTCGCAGCTTTTTCGCGATCACGCTGCTGCTCATATCGTATCTTCAACTCAGAGAACAATTTCACATAGGTAACATCTTCAAAGGCAGCCATGTGATTTTCAACAGTGTATTTCACAAGCGGTTTTATGTCCTCCTGAAAAAGCGTACACTTGTTTTTTGATTATTTGCAACACAATCAAAATTTGAAATGCACCTACCGATCGGATATAGTCGAATAATTCAAGCATTGCAGAATTGAGTAGGTTGTATCTGGGTCCGTTACGTACAAAGCACTCAACTACACGATCCAGAACTTTCTCCCTAACGATATAGCGATTGTAGAAGTCATCTTTAACAGCTAATACGGTACGCAACATCTTCAAAGCACCTGAAAAGAATGAAACCAATACAAGGCCAGTTGCACGACTGCAGAATAAGGGGAGAGTAACAGATTAAGCTCACCCAAAGCCAGAAAATGATGCTTGCTCTGCAGGAGGACTAGCACTTTATTAAGCAAGTCGTTTGAAATACAGTGTTGTCTCATTGAAAAAGAGTGATGTTCAATACAAAAGCAAAGAAGTCGAACGACTAACGACTGGCGATTTGCCATGCAGTAGTCATCTGAAAAGTCCCAACAAATAAGAAATCAATGAAGAGCAAACCATTTTAAAATAAGTTTAAGATATTTTTTTCCAAATGAAATATGTGAAGAAAGAGAATCGGCTGACTTAGTCACTGCATTAAGAGACCCATCAAAGATGAAAAAAATTTAGAAGTGATAAATTTGTGAAAGAAAGCACTGGGATTTACCGCGCTTGATCGTTCCTCCTTTCACATTTTCCATCATCGGCCTTACAAGTGTATAGATGGACCTTTGATAGAATAGGCTCAGGAACTCGGATCTGTCCGATTTCTGCATCGACACCATATTATCGGGATCGAGTAAAGTTCGTAGCACCTGTATAAAATGAATTAAATAGTAAAAAATACCTAAATGTAAATAAATGTGGAGATTTAACTTACCTGTGAGACTTGACTACCCGACGTTAACTCTGCATCACGATCGGTTTGCATATGAACCAGCAGGCGATTCAGTAAAACTTCATCCTAAAGTCAGAAAAGCCGTAATGTAACTGTCTTTTCAAGAAAAAACAAAAACTAATCTTAGTAGAAAAAACTCACATCACTCTTATCCTTAGCTTGTCTTAACAAATAGTCTCGCACAAGTTGCGGACTGTGGTCCACAAGCAGTGCAAGCATATCTACTATAGTTGTTCGAGTGTCAGGATCAGGAGATTTGATGCAAGGCTCAATAGTCCCAAGAACATCATTAGCTTGCAGGTTCTGCAACACAAACACCTTAGTAAAGAAAGTATCCATTTCACAAATAAAGCATTTACCTTAAAAAAGTTATCCTTGCTTTGCGCACCATTTGGTGGTAACCCTTGGCTGAGGGTGATAAATTCTTTGAGGAAAAATGCTAGATCCCTTCGTCGCGCAACAGTTGTTTCAGGATCTCGGAGCTGATCAAACAACTCCTTCATTAACCTTTTATCTTTCTGCAATTAAGTAATTATAAAATAATCTGCAAGAGCAACGAAAGGGAAGAAGGCAGAGCAACCTGTAGCATATTGACGATATCAATTCTGTTGAAGAATAGATAACTATTTAAAACAGATAGTAGATTTTCCTCAAATAGTGATGGAGCAGGCAAGCACACATCTTGCAAGTATTGAACTCGATAAGTCTGATGAATCTTTTCTCTGGAATTTACATGGATAGCAGAGATGAAGATGCAAGATAAGAAGGGAAAACTAAAAACAAACAAAGACGAAATGACTCACTTCAGCTCTTCATTAGCTATAGGCAGTACTTCACGGAATTTAGCCTTCTCGTAAAGAAATTCTCGATGTTTGCGCGGTGTTTCATGTGCTGGATCGTACTCCAGCATACCAATAAGGTCTTTCAGATATTTGTCACTCAACAACGTCTGGAATAAATTCGTGAAGGCATACCATAGGATACTCGAAAATAACAATCATTTAAATTGGATTGTGTCGAAATTATGACACGTGATTGTCACAAGCTAGAAAAAAAAGAAAGACTTATGTTAACACTTTACACACTGCTATGAAAGATAAATGTAAGAAATATGCCAAAATCTCTTATTTTCTTAATTTGAGATTCACTAAACCACGATGTAATTCTGTCAAAACATAGTTGCAATTGATATCCTTGATCACTGGTTATGCTAGATCCATTCACTTGCACGTTTTGAGGAGATGAAAAAATCAAAAACAATAGAACGTTCGCCAAAAGGATTCATGGAAACTTACCTCATTGAGGCTATTCCTATTCAGCATAAATAAGTTTTTTGCTATGGAGTATAGTGTGCGAAGTCCATCTTTATGTTCTATATCTTCACACATATGAAAAACGTCTACCAGTTTCGGCAAGACCCTATGAATGTTACACTTATCACCAGCATGTAAAAAAACCAAAATCAATCTCTCACCCTTCCGATTCAATCGCGTTGGCCATTTTCTCCCGCAATACCTGCGTAGCAAGATGATTCTGCATAATGGTGTCCACTTCGGCCAATCGCCCAACTTCAATCGGTGGGATAACAACACGACCAGCCCCACCTCCTCCGGCCAACGCATTCGAGGAGCCTTCGCTCAACTCTCCGTCATCCATTTCATCATAACCGCCATCCTATGAAAATTTGTTTAAAGTTTGCCAAAAGTTATGTTACATTGGGAAAAAAAGAAACTTACAGCATCTCCAGGATCCCGTCCTTGAACTTCACAAATCTTTGCCCAAATCTCTTCACAACCTGACTTCTCCTGGAAACTTAGCGCCAGGTCGCATGTATCCGACTCCGACCACACAATCAGGGTTTCCTAAGTTTTTATGATTAACCCGCCACAAACAATTGGTTCTTAAAAATGAATAACGAGGAAGGATGCTGAATTCTATGCAATATGAAAAAAAATAGAGAAGATAATCTAGGCAATTTTTATGTTGCCTCAGCTGAAGTTTTCAAATAAAAACATATATTAAATAATGACAACAGCATGAGATAGGGTCACTGCACAACTGATGATCCCGAAATCCGCTTCAAGAAGCTCTCTACACAACATGCTTATCAACAAACGTAGCATTTTTTGAACTCTCCTCGTCTCCAGAAAGCAAAACTTCCAAGAACCCGACCGCCACCAAATCCATTGCTTTCTCCATAATACAATTGCACGGTATCACGTTGCATGCGTCGTCACGACATCAACCAGACGAATTAGGCGCACTGCTACAAAAACTGGCGCGCCGCCAGTATTTTCCACTAAAAGTCAAGGAACGGCCAAGACCTCCTTAGAAAGTGAATTTTCTGCGATAGCAATAGGGTAACTTGCTTCAATCAAACCGACGCGACGTGAGAAGTGTAAAACGCCTTTTTTAGAGTAGATGGGAACACCTAGCCACTAGGACTGTAAGATTACATGGATGCAAGATTGAAGGTGAAACCATGGCATTAAGAACGACAGCAGTTTGGAAGTTCAACGAAGGATTAAGCAGGCAAGACTGGGAGCGAAGACAATGAGAAGTTGGTTAAATAAAACGCTTAGGAATACGGGTATCATGGAACCTATCGCAGCTGATTCAACAATAAGTTCTTAGCAAAGAATCACTTGATCTAAAAGAACAAGAGTGAGCAACGCTTGGAAGAGAGGAGACGGTAAGCTCAAGAAGTGTTTTAGCATTCCGATTTTCTTAGCTGCTGTAGCTTGTAGTCTTAGATAAGTAGTTGTTATCAGTAAAAGAAATGACACACCTTAAAGTCTGCCTTTCTCTTCGTAGACCCTAAAATTTTCCCAAGCTAGTCAAAAGATAGAGCAAAGTCACATGTATGTCGAGGAAAATCCAAGAAAATAGAATAGGATACGGTAATCAACAGTCGCAGCAACTCCTCAATCACTGAGATAGTTCCACAAAAGCAAGGTAACCATTAAAGGCACTAATACGACAATGTTCAGCCGCAAATCTGAGAAAATACTCTTATAAGGAAAAAGATTTCATTTTTTTT